AGAACACGTCTCTCACTACGTGCCTATCCTACCTCACACGCACCACTTCCGTCATCCATAAAATCCCTCAAAACACTCCTCAACCCCTGAATGTGATGCGACCCCCTCCCCAAAACCAACCATAAATGCGACCCCTTGTTCGAATAATGCGAACGCGTGTTTGCCCCTGGGCAAGAGATAAATCATCTGTTACAGGGTCTCATCTATGAGACGTACAAAAGCGCTCCTTCAGCCACCTCGCTATCGGCAACTGAAGGATTGTAATTTTTAATGACTAAATATAGTGCGATTTTAACAAGAGGAGTCGCTCAAAACCGATATCCATTAAGAGATAGGAAAAGCGGTGTTTACTTCTCTAAAAAATAGAAATAGAATTTTCGACAAATTCTAACAGCGCAAAGTGTCCTTAGGAAAAGAGGTCATGCAGTGGTTGTAGTCCAATCGTTGACAGAAGAATGGCCATGGATATGCCGACTCGCTAACGCTTACGCTAACGTAAGTTTAATGAGACAGGTAGTGTTTGTAATTTTTTTCAAATAGGGAAAACTAGAAAACATCTGCGTTTTCCGGACGTTTTATGATAAAGAGGCGTTTGGGAAATTTTCAGGATTTGCTGCAGCGCGACTGTTGGCCCCAGAGTGAGCCAGCGTGATGAGCTTCTCTACAGGAGGTCGAATTTTCTTGAAATAGAACTTTTTTGGAAGAGCAAGAGGGATGCGGCAGAAGAGGATCTACTCGGGGTTTCCGAAGGAGTTTTTTTGCATTTTTTTTTGAAAAATCGTTCCGGAGGTTAGCGAAATTCGCAAAAATATTGGGATAATTTTTCATGTTGTAACTGATTCATATAGATTCACCACACATACACTCCCCGCCCCTTATAATAAATGCTTGATGAACATTTTTTGGAGAAAATAAGATCTTAATAGATATGGAGATAGTTTTGCGTGGGGGTGCAATAGAGTAAAAGTGGGAATTTCGTCGGCACGTAGCTCACCCTGCGGTTGATCGTAACTCGGTCGACGGACTACTTGAACTCAGCCCTTTAACCGCCTCTGCGCTCTCTCGCGGGTCCCTCTCCTCTCCAAGGCTTAGTCCTAGGGCATTCACCCGTTCTCTAATCGTCTGTGCTCTAGCCATCGCGGCAGGACCATTGAGGAAAAATCAAGTAGTCCGTAAACCGCGTAACTCCGACTGGTTGAGCACTTTGATGCCTCTGGCGGTCTACATTGGCTAGCCGCACTATAATGACAGAGCTCTCCCCTCCCACTTCAGTATGATTTTTCTTTGCAGTTATCAGAAGCTTTCTTGAAAGGAAGCGGACTTACGTGATTTATCTGTGAATGAGTGCGGCGGTGACGGAAATGCTTCATCGAATTTTGACGGCGTACGGGTACGCTCTTCTGATATGCGTCTGGAATTAGTGATATTCAGCGATCGCAGCATAAATGACCAGGCATCACCGAATCACTTTTGGAGTTCGCCACACCTCCAAATTCTGTTTAGTGTCACTGTGGATTTCAGTGCGTGTTTAGCCTATGCAATAGTTTGCAAGACCAGCTGATGTACTGGCTCGGCCTTCCATAGAAGGCGGATACCATTCACTGGCTCATTCTGCGGTAGAATGAAGTGTGTGGACGTCTCCTGATAGATTTGGTCCGGTAAGTAACTGGCGATCGACGTGTGCGGTAGCGGCTCTAACTGTCACTGCCCCAGCTCCTACCCAGTGAGTAGTATTTATTTGCCGCCAACTAAATATGATGACGATACCTTTTTGGGGCAAATACTTATTTGAGACACGGGATGCGTTAAAATTATGTCAGCTAAAGGTGGACACACCAACGGAGTGAGTTAAAGGCTCGAGAGATGCCTCGTTTTATTTGAAAATTCCGTCATGACGGTGCTAAACCATTGCGTGATTGCTTGACAGTGGGTCTCACAGGGTCAGGATGCTAACCCTGGTAGACCTTCGACAACCGCGCTACACGTGGGTATAGTCAGGATATATTTGTGAATCGGACCTGCGTTTTTGAATATATCAGGACTTATCTCTATAATTTTCGATGCTAACGATGGAATTGGGCCCTTGCCCTGCATTTGGCTTGGTACTACCAATATTTGACTTGGTCCTTGGGTGTCTCCATGACTGAACTTGAATAATGAACAGTTACTAAAAACAGTTTGGACGGGTACTTTCCCAAATGGCTTTCGTCTTTTCCAAGCTATGAAGAAGGTGAGAGCCTAATAAAGTTATTGCCAATCTCGGTCGGAAGCTGAGCACCAAACTAGGAACAGTGATTTTTAATGTCTCTCTAACAAGGGAGGTCGTTCAGGGTGTGCTAAGTTTTTCAAAACGGTTTCCTACATGACATAAGGGGCACATGTGGGAACCACAG